TCGTTCTCTCACACCTTTCACCTGTGGAAATCTCCTGCGTCTTTCCCAAGTACAATCGTCAAAAATATAATTTCAACATCAATGACCATGTTCTCTCTTCTTGAATTCAGTTTTATTCTTTTATTGCCTTTTCTCCTCACTAAAGACTTCTCATTCTCTCTTAATCCCTTGCGTCTTAGTGGCATTATCGACTTGCTTGGAATGAAATGGTTAAAAAAAACCCTTAAAAAAAAAAATTAAAAAAAAAACACAGAAAGAAATTCTGAGGGAGAAGTCTGACTCCAAAATGATTAACTGTTCTCGTCGCGTCGGGTTTTCGGCTCACTAGCTTGTTAACCATCGCTCTGCGGCGAGCCTCCCAGGGGACGAAGATTTCTATTGTGAGCGTGCCATAAGTGAATAATATCAAACACCCTTGAAATCTGCTTTCACCGATTTAAGACACAGCCCGAATTGACCCTTTATTTTTTTCTTCGGACGTGTACCGTATTAATTTCATACCAATTATTTTGTCAAGGGATTTGCATTTTCAAGAATATTACTCAGCAGAAAAGCCCAAAAAGAAATTAGCAGGTAAAAAAAAAAGAACATAACACATAATGGCGTTGTGGACTAAATCCAATTAGTGGAGGTGTCTGTTTTTTTTTTATCATTTGCTAGGTAGAAGGGCATTCACCTTTATGTTTTGGCTTCTGTCAAGATATTCTTTCTAGACATATTCTTTCTAGACACGTTCTTTCCATACTTATTCTTTCTAGACATTCTTTCTAGACATATACTTTATAGATATTCTTTCTAGACATGTTCTTTCTAGACATATTTTTCCAAAAAAATTCTTTCCATATATATTCTTCTTAGACATATTCTTTCCAGACACTCTTCTTTCTAGACATATACTTTTTAGACATTCTTTCTAGATATATACTTTGTAGACATATACTTTGTAAACATATTCTTTCCAAAAATATTCTTTCCATACATATTCTTTCTAGACATATTATTTCCAGACATATTCTTTCTAGACATATTGTTTCCAGACATATTCTTTCTAGGCATATTCTTTCCAAACATATTCTTTCCAGACATATTCTTTCTAGACCTACTCTTTTCAGACATATTTTCCCAGACATATTCTTTCTACACATATTCTTCCCTGAAATATTCTTTCCCGACATATTCTTCCTGGACATATTTTCTAGACATATACTTTCTAAACATTCTTTCTAGACACATTCTTTCCATACATATTCTTTCTAGGTATATTCTTTCCAGACATTCTTCTTTCTAGACAAACTTTCTAGACATAAACTTTCTAGACATTCTTTGTAGACATATACTTTGTAGACATATACTTTGTAAACATGTTCTTTGTAGACATATTCTTTCCAAACATTATTTCCATACATTTTCTTTCCAGACATATTCTTCCCAGAGATATTGTTTCCAGACATATTGTTTCTAGACATATTCTTCTTAGACATATTCTTTTCAAACATATTCTTTCCAGACATATTCTTTCCAGGCGTATTCTTTCTAGACATATTCTTTCCATACATATTCATTCTAGTCACATTCATTCCAGACATTCTTTCTAGACATATTCTTTCTAGACATATCTCGCTCAAACTTTTTTGCTACAACTCTCTACTGTTTTTTTCCTCTAAGACTCCTACCATTATTTTTTTTTCACGCCAAAAATCCATGGAAGATCCATTCTTTGAGCACGGAACCCTTTTATTTTGCTAGTTTCTATTAATGAGCAACACAGTCATTATATCTTTTCTTAGCGGAATAATATTTGTTTCAGAGGTGACCAGGTTTTATCAAGGGCTCCTGGGTAAATTACCATAACACGAAACAATCATGGAATTCCACGGCTATTTTATAATCGCAATGAGCTGATTTACTCATTAACTTCAGAATTAAATGTGATCTGAAAAGAACTGGTGATTCAACTTGACATGGTGTAAGTCTCGCAATCATGGAGGTGATTCAGGAACGGGTTCTTTGCGAAGAAAACTGAAGAGATGTAAGAGTAGGCTGGGAACTATGCAAGAGATATTTTGCCTTTTGAGTTGCGGACATTCACTCGCCCTCAAAGCCGAGAATGAGCAAAAGTGAAAATCATGTGGAATATGACCATGTTCACTGACAAACGCTAGGAGAGCAATTGCTCTGACATCAAACTTGTGCACAAGAGAGCAAACATAAATGGATTCTGATAGACATTGCGGTAAATTGGGATAAGAAAATGGCGGAGCTGGTGGGCATATGGAGATACCAAGACCTGATAGGGCCATTTAAAGAAATATATAAAACAGCAGCTCAATTTTTCTTTTTTGGGGTGGCACACTCTACACTATCTCCAAGAATCTTCTCACTGCTTCGCAAGACGCCATAACATCATTAGAAGTGTGCAAGTGGCAGCGCTGTTTGGAACAGTTCAAGGAAAATATTTGCCTCTTAGCTACAAGTAAAAATTGTGCTATGACCATCATCACCTGCCCTAAACATCTAAAAGTTCGTTTATGGATAGATTGTGTTATTTTTTTTTTTACGGTTTATGAAGCTTTTGCGCGTTATTTAAAGCCAGAAAATATTTTTACATTGTAAAAATTTTTTGGAGATAATAATTATTTAGGGATAAAATTCCTACTAATTAACCCATAGCTAGGGGGAGAAGTGATGGATTTATACACTTCCCAAGGCTATTTGCACATAAATGAATATAACGAACCAGATTGGGGTTGGAATCGAAACTAGTCTGCGATTTCCAATTCCAAAGCGTTTTCTATGACACCACCCGCACATCCAAACTTACAGTAGCTGGTATCTCTAAGCAGTCACTCATCTAACTACTGAACAGGCTCGACGTTGCTTAACTTCAGTTATCTTAGGGGAACAGGTGTTTGAACGTGATAATACCGTAAGCCTTGTAAGAGTCGGAGTTATATAAAGAGAACTGAAGCTTTTCGCTCTGGAAAATTCCGTTTAATTTGTTCTTCAGAAAGTTCTTTTCTGAAGTCTATACCATTCTCTAACTAGTCAGGCGGTTCGGTATGATTATTAAAATGCTCTTAACCACACCAAACGTATCTGTAAATCCACGAATATGCTACCAGATCTTACACCTTGCAATAATCTATTCAGGCCATAGACAATTTTGGCATTTACCTCCTGTAATTCTTAAGAATCTTCTTGTTAAACAGAAATTGTCTTTTAGTACCGCTTCAAAGTTTTCAACATCCATTCTGAACATCAGGAAGAAGATCAATTTTAGTAAGATACATTTTTTTAATCATCTAATTCATCGTAGAACGACTTTTGGTTTGTTCTGAACAAGTTGTTCTGAAAGAATTGAACGCATCGTTAATCATATGTCTGCTTTTCACCTGCTCTCTTACCTTCAGCAGGTGACTAAGGGAATTCCCATTTCAGTTCCTCTGTGCTACCTCGACTTCACTCATTTAAGCGCAGTACTAGATTGGCGGCAAGGTCTCATCATTTTACAGTTGAAATGGCTAGATAGAACCGTAAGTTCTATGCTAACAATTTCTTCACCCGCACTTCTCGCTTGTGGAACTTTCTTCCGGCTTCTTGGTTTCCAATCAATTTTTATCGTCTTTGACAGTGAATTTTGATCTTATTTGCTTTATTGCCTTGTTTGTGGCGAAATGATTAAAAAGAATATTCATATTTGATCCGTCTCTCCTAAGCTCATGTTAACACTCCAGAGCTTTTTGATTTTATTCAGGTACTTTCGCCAGAATTACTATGACAATTTTTCATCTTCCAAAAACGGTTTGTCTTCGCCTTTTCCCTTTTCAACTTTAGCAGCCGTTTTGTAGTGACCCCAGCAGCGATACAAAACACATCGAAAGCCGTTCTTAACCGATATCAATTCAACTGATTCATTTCTTTTCTGAACGTCTACTCTAAGAGACTTTTTCTCTTACGCGGCTTTTAGAGATGTTAACAGTCCACTCTCCCATTTTTCTGTTTCCCGAAGCAATCTGCCGCGTGGATTTATTGCCTTCTCACTTATGGCAACAGATTCTGTTGTTAACTTATTTTGGATCGCATTGCTTTTGTCCATGCAGCATCTTGTGCTAATTCTTGTATCATTGGGCGACTCGACTACCCCAGTTACAAGAGTATTGCCCATTATTCCACCACCAGGAGGCGGGGTATGACTCGGACACCTGCGCATTCCCATAGGCAGTACAGTTCCCCTAATCCGTTACATTGGTAATTTGATTCTTTGCAATAATAATAATAATAATAATAATAATAATTATTATTATTATCATTATTATTATTATTATTATTATTGCTAGTGTACGCAGGCCGTCAAAAATGACAGCTAATTTTTTGTCCGCCGCTATTATGTTGTTGATAATTGGCTTCAGTGAACAGAAGAATATTTACTCTAAGAATTCTGTCTTGTGCTTTTCTTGCATGTCTCATGGTGCCAATATTCTCATTCCTCATACTGTGGCGTTGCTCTTCTGTCTCTTGTCAAAGACGTTCCACCCACTTTTGCATTCACATGTTTCCACTTCTTCCTTTGTTTTATTTTGAATCTTTTCAGCTACACGATCTTACACAGCAGCTCTCCTTGCACCAGCTTCTTCCTCTGGTACATTTTCTCTTCTTTGCAATGCTCTCCCCCCTCTCTCTATCCAGCAGCTCTCCTCCCCTCTATCACCATCTTTTTCTCTTCGATTAAATCGCCCGGGAGCCTTGCGTTTTCTGGCTTGTGCTCTTATTGCTTCACGGTGTTCCTGCAATGCCTGTGAATATCTTTGCCTATTAGCCCCACCCACCGTGCCTATATCGGATCCTTAGACGGGCGTAATCGTCGCCCTCGCTCTCGTTCTAATCCCCTTCTTTCCTCAGAGAAAATTTTTCATTTTATGATGATCACTGCATAAAACTTTCTTAAATCCACAAAACAATGCAAAACATAGGGAATTATTTGAATTTAATTATACATTTATATAGCAAATTTATGTTGAATCTTGGATGTCTAAGTAAAAACTAAAATGTATTTAAATTATATGAGAACTTGTAATTACATCAGCAATATCAATACTAAATTTATCTCTTATATAGTTATTCAATTGTATATTTAGAATGTTAAACACGTGATGTAATGGTTAACAAGCCACGCGAGATCAATTACGGCTGAGTAGTGTGCTCAAATCTCACGGGGGATCCAATCTTTCGGCCTTGTGCCACATCTAAGCTATACTTAAATCAGCATATATTTAGTGTGCTACCTGTAGGACACTATAAGTCATATATTCCGGTAAAGTATGTAGTGACTGATGTTATGTTTGTTTGAAAGTAATTGTTACTTGTAAATAAATGCAGTCGTATCAATCATTCATTTATTACACCTGATATTCTGTAAATCGTGTTTTGCTCAATATCTTTTCATGTTAAAATGTTAAGTGTTTACTATAAGAGTGAAATGGAAATATCTACCGGAAGAAAAAAGATTAGCAACAGAACGATAGAGACGGCAACGACAAATCCTATTTCAGGAACAAGTTGAAGAAACAAAAAAACAAAGGTATCTGAGTGCCTCATATGAAAGGCTTGAACAAATAAGGCTGCAATCTAAGAAACGTATCAGTAAATGTAGTGATTAGTTAAACGGTTCATTTTGCTCGGGAAATAATTTTGACTAAATGCAGATAAATTCAATTGTATAGATTTGTGAAAATGGCCTACCTCGGAAACGCCCGCGAATCTGTGCGGCATGCAAACTCCAATTGTTCAACGATAAAAAGAACCAAAATGGCGGCGCCCATGTTTTATGCCGGGCGGTCTCAGACAGTTAACGCGAAATCTCGTTGTCTCGTCATTCGCATGCAAATTATGGTCGGTCCTCGGCTGTATAAAGCAGGCGCGTTTTTTGTTTCTGAGGACTGAGTTTTTTTGCTTGTGAGAAGGTTGGACGTGTGACACTATTTTGTCGATTACCCTCCTCGCAGTTCCTACTATCAGTTGAGTCGTTTCTTTACCACCACAAGATTATTAAAACAACTAAGGGAAGTAATCGGTCATAAATTCACTAAATTAAGTTGATTTACCTCCCTTCCCGATACAGAGTGGACAGGAAATATAGAAATCAATACACATTGATAATTCTTATATGGTATAATTATTATTAGTTTATTTTTTCTGGAAATAGAAAATTTAAAAAGCGTGTAAATTAATTTAAATTAACGAATGGAATGGAAGAGAAAAAAAAAACTTGATAAGTCCTGGGAAGAAACCAGTTGTTCTTTTTAGCTTTTTCTTTTAAAAATGCCTTATAATTTTTGTTTTTTCCTATATATAATTATTTTTTAATATAATACACTAGGAATCCATTTTTGATTTTTAAAATATAATTTCTCTTGTTTTGTATAAAGTGACGAATGATTGGCTCAGGTCTTTGCAAGAATTACCCATAGATTTTATCTTCGGTTTTACCATTTTCTTGTTATTCTCAGAAACAAAGCATATGTGTTATTTGCCAAGCGAAGATACGATGATGAACTCAAAATGATGTCATATTGTCCTTTCAGTTATGCGGGCCTTATTAGAATTTTCAAGAAAGCGATTGTCTATTGTGCGGATATCTTTGGTTCAATCATATAAATATTCAGACATTGTATATCATATTGACTTTGTATAGTGTTTTTTGTTAATTTTTTATAAGACGTGTTACTAGTGACGATAATATTCGATGTTTTTCATTTTTTTATAACAGATAATTACTCGGATACAGTTGTTAATCTCGTCGGGGGAGACGTTCTTGCATATGATATTCATAATAGCTATATCGTACTGTTTCTAACTGAGGTGTATATGGGTAGAATAAGGTTATTGTATTGATATTTTTATTAGGACTGTTGTGTGGATTGTTATTATTTTAATTAATTTATTTGGAGTAATTTCTATTTTTTCGTCGACAACGTAGTTGGAAAATGTTTAATTTTGATTCTAGTTTCTGTTGGAACGTTCACCGTTGAAATTAAAGAACTAAGTGTTTCAGCGCGATTTTTTTTGTTGTTGATAAAATGGCAAAAGTTTGAGTTTGTAATATTTTGTATAATGTGTGATTGCGGCTATTCGAATCGATTAAAAAAATCTAAAAAATGAAGCGTTTCTTATAATTTCAAACGTAAAATTGAAGACGGGATTATTTTTGAAAGTTTTACCTTTTTCTTATTTCGCTTAGATTTTTGGTTAATGCAAAACTATGTATTGGTTTTGGCTAGATTTTTAAATAGAAAATTTTTGGAGTGGGGCATAAAGGGAAACCCCATTGCGCAACCATCAATCTGTGTAGAGATGTTACCAAGTTGGTTGCAAAAGGGAACTTGTGCTGTGTCGACTAAAAGACAATTGCAAAAAAAAATATTGATATCTGTCACTCTTTCTTTCTTTCTTTCTTTCTTTCTTTCTTTCTTTCTCACGCTCTTTCTCTCTCTATATATTTGGGTTACTCTTTATCTCTTTCTCTCTTAACTTTTGTCTTCGATGTCTGTACCTCTATCTCCTCAGCCCATCGCTCTCTCTCTCTCTCTCTCTCTCTCTCTCTGTTCTTCTTTAACATATTTCTTACTCCCTCGGTGCCTGTAACCCCTCTCACTTTCTCTGTTACTGTTTTGTTTTTTTTTCTCTTTCCCATACTCCCTCTCACTCTCTCTTTTTCACCATCTTTTCAATTCTTTCACTTCTCAATCGAAATTTTTAACTTTCTCTCTCAGCTGCTTTAGCCTGACAACTTCCGCTTGTAAATCCACCCCCGGCCCCTGCACCCCCCCAATTTCTATTCTTAGAACAACTCAATCAACCTATTTCTCTTTGTACTCATATTCTACCCTCTCATCCTCCAGTCTGCTCCTCTACAACAGAGTTGTATTTACGCATTTTTAACATTTAAATGCAGGAAGTAATCTTCCTTGAATATTATTATTAAGGTGTACAGAGGTTGTACTGTGAGTGGGGAGGGTAGTAAAATTATAAGTGGGAGGGGGGAAGAGAAATAAAAAGGGGGAAGGTCAGGGATGCACTTTTAGTAGAACTGGTGATGTTGATAAATATACGATCATTTTTTGATATAGCTTTTCGTCATTTATTAAACTTAGCTTATTTTGGCACAAGGCCTCAAGAAAGGAGCACTCAGCGAGGCTCGCTACTCGGTAGTCATAATCAACCAAACTAGTTCGCAATGCAGAGCTTGACGCCGATAGACTGCTTCATTAGAAGTGACACAGATTTCTTTTAAAGTCTTATGCGCTATGACCATCCGGGACGTCGATAATCATGGCTCTCCACAACTTTCTTTTTTTTTTTTTTTTTATTCCTCCTCCTTCCTCTTTATTCGTCTTTGTCCTTGTTCTGCCAACCATTCACATAAACTCGTTGTGTACGTTGGTGAATGTTTTAATACATTTTCTCAAGAATTGGATGTTCCTGATTTTACAAGAACAATAATGCAAGATGCATCAAGAAGTAATATTGCAGAAGTACTTGCGCTTGTGCAAAGACACGAATTCACCTGTTGAATGTCATCACTTCATTGAGAATGAATGTCTTCGGAACTTACTGAGTGGAGACTGCCAATACCAGATGATCTGTCAATTCATAGGGCCATCCTTATTTTACCCTTACAGCTAATGGCAGGCATGAAAACTTTAGAACTAGAAACGCAAATACGCATACACATACAAACGTAATTGGGTGTTGAAAAGTTTTCGGTCCAACCAAAGATGTCCTTATACACAAAAAAATTTGATGCTTCGTCATTTGATCAAATTTTTGGAAGTGAGTCGACTTGAGAACTTTCAAGCATTCCTTTATATATATATATATATATATATATATATATATATATATATATATATATATAATTTATTTTTTAAAAAATATGATTCCATCGCGACACAGAAATTACTATGTTTCGAAACCGAATCTCAAGTCCTAAAGTTTAAAGTTTAAAATTAAACTTAAAATTTAGAGTACAGTTTCATTCCCAAGCGATGTTTAGAATAACTAACCGAAGAAATGTTTTGCTCATTTACAGGTTGGGAATGGAAGTGCAATCTAGGGTTTGTCATTCATCATCAAGGGGTCTCTGCTTTGATGATAGTAGGAATATTTATTATATGTCAAATTTTTGGAGTCGTGTAAGGTTGGGTATAAAAAGAATAATTATAATTTAAGCTCTACTTCTGTATCGAGCACTGTTTTTTAAAATAAAAACAAACACTAAAGAACCCTGGATTATTAATCTATCGGTTCTTTCCTATTACATCAATACACACACATACACACACACACACACACATATATATATATATATATAAATTTATATCTGAATGAATGTCCACTTAGATATAAAATAGGTGTCATAAAAAACTTCTTCAAGTGAAGACATGAGAATTCATCGTGAAACAGACCCTAGTTAATAACGGTTTTACGAACGACCTCATAGATAACCAAATTAGATTATTTTTTTTCTAAAGTAGGCATCAGAAAAAAACCCCAATAATATCAACATTTTTAATAAAAATCAAATCCACGTTAATTATAAGCAGAATGAATTTACCGTTAGAAATATCATTAAGAAATACAGAACCTCAGTCGACCAGAACAAGAAAATTAAGTGATCTAATATAAAAAAAAAATAACTTCATCCTTAACAATAACAATTCACCTGCAAAATCCAAATTACAGAGGACCAAAATCATTTATGAATTTACATGCAAAGAACTGCATTCCTGATCAAAACAAATTTATGAATAACTATATTGGTCATATTGCTGCATGCTTATCGAGAAGAATATATTCCATTTTTCAGATCAGAGCTCAGTTAGGAACCATCTAAAGACACACGGAAACCTACCAAGCACCACCCAGAAAATACTTGTGGAAAATAAGACCATAATAGTCTCATCCACACGAAAAAACGGCAAAAATAATGGAAGTCTTAATATTAAAAAACAAAAAGTCAACACTCAGTAATATCAACTATTAACAAGGTCACAACGTGATCAAAATGTTTGTAAAATAAAAAAATCCAGTCACTATATATATATATATATATATATATATATATTCACTTAAAAATAATAAATGAATTCTTGATAATTGCTAATAGAATAGCCGAAAACTCAGATACATAGAAAAATATTTGACGCTTTATATCCAGAAAAATATATTTGTACAGATGCAAGAAAATTGAATAAAAAGCTTATTCTCAGTACCTTATCAGTTGTCTTAAATAAAAATTCTCTCTCTCTCTCTCTCTCTCTCTCTCTCTCTATATATATATATATATATATATATATTCATAATAATTTAGACATATCATGTTGATTAGTTTTCGTTGTGATCCTTTCAAGTTCACAGATTAATTTATTGTTAGAATTAGAAAATTGAGTAAGAAAAATACCAAAATTTTCTTTCGAATAGTTTTTATTTTCCCAAGTAGTTTCAATCTCATCTGAGATATTCTTCAGGAAGTTAAATTGTCTGTGAATGTGTATACATATTTCTGTAAATTCTATCTATCTATCTATCTCCCGTCCTTTCTCTCTCTCTCTCTCTCTCTCTCTCTATATATATATATATATATATATATATATATATATATATATATATATATATATATTTATTCATTTAAACAGGTTTGGTTAAATAATTTAGACATATCATATTGATTAGTTTTCCTTGCGATCCTTTCAAGTTCGTGGATTCATTTTTTGTTAGACTTAGAAAATTGAGTAAGAAAAATACCAAAATTTTCTTTCGAATAGTTTTTATTGGCCCATGTACTTTCAATCTCATTTGAGACTATCTTTAGGGAGTTAAGTTGTCTTTAAGTATGCATATGTGTTTCTGTAAATTGAAAACATTTCAACTGTTCGTTTTTATTGCTTATGCAGCGTTCTTGATTTCAAAGTTGAAAGTTCGCTTGTTTTTTTTTCAGTATAAAAGTAACTTTTCCAGTTTTGCTCATACATATATATATATATATATATATATATATATATATATATATATATATATATATATATTTATATATACTTTTCTTTTCTATATACTCAGAGTTGGCTTTATTTTTGGGTTTTAATTCTCTTATATAATGAACTTCAAGGTTTTTAGTTTTTGCTTATTGTTGCTTTTATGTAATATATTTGTATTTTCAACTAATATCCGTCTAAGCTGTGAGTGTGGGCATGAGTGTTCCTTTAAATACTGAGATATTCAATTAATTATATATATATATATATATATATATATATATATATATATATATATATTAGACATGAGGGTACTGGGGAAGTAGAATGCGCGTATGTTCGACTGGGAAACGATTTGTGGACTTGAAGGGAGAAAATAATTTAAGAAAACAATAAAGGACTAAGAAGGACCATGGCGCTGAAACGTGTGTCTGTAAATTTGCGAGAGAGTGAAAGACAGACAGACAGACAGACAGAAAGAGAAAGAGTGAAGAAGAGAGGACACTAAAGTAGAGAGACTTGAGAAGTGAAAATGTAGGCATCAGGTTTTAATCAATGTTTCCCCATTCTTGGGGTTTTTTTTTTTGCTTTTCTCTGTGTTTTTAGCTTCCATCTCCATTTCTCTAGCTTCCTTTCTCTTCATGCGCACAGACATGGCCATTAAAAGAGAAAACGGATTAAAAAGAATATTTAAATTGCTAAAAACCGAATAAAAAGGAACGAATAGTTTTCGGGACAGAACATTTTTGGCGGGACTAGAAAGAGGGGGGTGTGTGGACATAATATGACTGATTCGTGTAGCAGGAGATGAACTGATTGATATTTTGATAATATACAAGAAGAGATAAATCGTTAGGTAGGTATGGGCAGAACGAAAGCGAGGTCGGGATAAATCATGAAACTATGGGGCGATAGGAACAGAGTAAGATTAACATGAAATGAACTGAGATAGATAGGGAGGTGTTAAGTGAGGTAGGGTAGAAATAAAGAAAGAAACGATGTATACGAAAGAAGAAAAGAAAAGACAGAAAGGGCAATAGAAGGAAGAAGAAATAAAGAAAGGAAAATCCCTAAGGGAAAGTGATGCAGTGTGATATGATTGAAATGGTTGTTTAAATGCCCGTTTTCTCTCTTCTCTCGTCTCTCTTCTTTCTGTTCCACTGAGCGTCGTTTGAGGCAAGTGAAGAGGCGAGTCGACCGAACGATGTGTGGAGCTGTTCGGCGAAGCGGAAAGCGCAATGATTTGTTAATAATCCGCTAATTTACTCGACACACATATCAGAAGCGGTCGGAAACAAACAAACAAAAACAAAAAAAAAAAAAAAAAACAAAAAACAAAAAAAAAACAGGAGAAAAACAAAACAAAACAAAACACAAACTCTCTTCTCTTCTCCTTCGATACTGCCGCCATTTTTATAATCCTTTCTTTCTTTATTTCTTTCTTGCCATCATTCGGTAAAGGACGGCTCTTTCTTCATATAAACCGTCATCCTTTATATCATTCTGTCCTTCCAACGAGATCCCAGAAAAATAAATAAATGAAACACACACTATATATATATAAACTAAAAAAATATATATAAAAAAGCAAGCTCGCTTGATGGACAACGAACGATTCCAATGTTTTGATCGTTAGATTCGACAGCTTTATTATTGTTGGTGTTATTGATTATTATTATTATTATTATTATTATTATTCAGTATTCTCTGCATTTATTGCTCACAATCTGCATCAGACCGAGAATAAATAAATGAATAAATAAATGAAAGGAGAAACGTGAAACCCTTTGTAGTTAACTGGGTATCACGCATTACATTAAATAAAAAAAAAAAAAACAACAACGAACAAACAAAATAAAAAAAAAAAAAAAAAAGATGCAGCGCTTATGGACCCAGAGGCAAAAAGAGTGTCGAGTGCGTGTGGGCCTTAACGTTTGGAAATTAATTTCTGCTGGGGGTGGTGAGTAGATAAAAACAGAAATGATCAGAAAATGCGTTTTACTTCCGTTGATATCTTCTTCTACTGATGGCTGCAGAAGACATGTTGAAGAGAGATCATCTTCAAATAGATCCTCATAGCAAACTATGTCTTGTAAATACTCATGTATTGAAAGAATTTCAATGTGTCGCAGGAAACACACTGAAACCTTTTTTGGCATTAACTCTCACAGATTTTGGCTGTTCTAACCAGTTAGTCTATCTATCTATTTTCTTTTTTTGTCATAGAAAACTTTCCAAGAATTCCAATGTTTTTGAAGCTTACCTAATGCTCTCCATAGAGCATATCAGATCTGAATATGGAACTCAATGTTTTCCCAATCCGATGTTGTTAATATTTTCAGGATATACTTATATTTATATGAATTTTATATTGTACTAGCAGACTTCGCCCGCTCGCTATTGCTTCGCAGAGCAAGATATGTTCACTACTTGAAATCTTTGAAACACAAATTTTAAATGAACAAAGGACAGAGTCGCAACTGAGGAAAATTATACTGAGAGGTGCCTGGCCCTGGGGAACAGCTGCCCGAGTCCGCGACTTCTCATTGCACTAGAGAGAAGGATCGGTGCACGCATCGAAGCCAGCGCAACCGACGGTTGCTGGGTCTCGGGGAATTTTTGTTCCTTGCCCGGGTGCACGCGCTCGGGCTCCCCACATTAAACCGACCTTGTGTCACAATCTGACCTCGTGGAGCGGGGGTGGTGACTTTTTTAGTAATTTCAAGTCTACTTATCATCTCTCAGTTGCGTCTCTGTCCTTGGGCAGAGTGCGCTCAGGAACTTCTCTGTCAAAGGACAGAGGGGCAACTGTGAAAATAAATACTGAAGAGGTGCCCAGCCCTGGGGAATAGCTGGCCGGGGCCGCGCCCTCCCATTGCACCAGAGGAAGTTTGAGTCCACAACCGAATGGAGGTCTTTTTCGAGACTAACGCCCAGGTTAGTTTTGTCGGCGATACCTCAGACTTGCTTTTGAGGCAGGAGTAAATAGTAGTATCGTCTGTATAGATGCCTACTTGGGAACTGATGACATCGGGAAGATCGTTAATGAAGATAAGGAACAGAGTAGGGCCCAGGATAAAGCCTTGGGAAACACCTGCGTTCGTGGGAAAGGAACTGGAGGAGAATCCGCAAAGGACGACCTTCATTACACGGTTTGACAGGAATTATTGTATTAAGTCAAATAATCGTCCTGAAATTCTGTATCCCTGAATCTTACGAAAGAGGCCGGCATGCCAAACCCTATCAAACGCTTTAGAGATATCTAGAGCCACGGCACGAGCTTCTCTGTTATTGTGAAGTGCTTGGTAAACAATTTCAGTTATGGCCGTGAGCACATCAGATGTAGAACGGGCAAAGCGGAAACCATTGTCAGAGAGCAGATCATGGGATATAAGGTGCTTGTTAAAGATATTGCTGGTATTCGGACTTCCAAATTTTCCGTTGCTCGGTGAAGTAGTAGATTTCCTCACACATTTCCTTAAAGATTTCGATCAACATGTTTCCTTACTTGATTGAGATTTGTGCTATTGAGGTTTCTTTGGTAAAAATGGACATCTAACCAACACCTTTATCCACTCGGCCATGTGTCCTTGAGAACATCTATGTATGAATTTCTGAGACTTATAAACAATCTACCCCGGTGTACGAAATAGTTCGGTTCGAAATTCCAATCACCTGAAGAAGTCTGGGGCGTACAACGACCAGCCAAAACGTTGTGAATATGGCAATAAAGATGAGGACAACAGTCCGAATAATGTAAATAATGTAAGTTATCATAAAACCTCATCTCAGAGATATAAACGAATATTTTCATGCTAATTCTTATGAGGAGCTTTTCCTCTTTGTTACCTCGACTTTACTATTTAAGCGCAATACTAGATGGGCAGTTAGGTCTCATCATCTTACAGTTGTAATTGCTGGATGCAACCACAAGTTCTATGCTAACAGTTTCTTCTCTAGCTATTCTCTTTTATGGAACTCTCTTCTGGCTTCTTGCTTTCCAATTTTGATCTTTAAAAATTTAAATGCGATGTCAATTGTCATGTTCTGTCTCCTTGAATCCTGTTCATCCATTGGCCTTTCTCCTTTCTAACGTTTTTTCGCAGATTCCTTCCGCACTCACTAACCCCTTGTGTCTTAATGGTTTTATCGGCTTGCTTGTGTGAAGGATTAAATAGCGGTTCAGATTGAGGAATCGGAGAGCCGAGTTCGAATTCCAGTCGTATCCGTTACATTCACTTACGTGCTAATCCACTTGGGAATGGTATGAATCCTCTTTTTCTCCCCCCCAGCTATGGGTAACTAGCAGGACAGACCGGGTTCTTGAGTATTGGATGGCAACTGGTCTACTGCAAAAATAAATGGCAACCTACTGAAGGGAAAAAATATGCCTCGTCAGTCATGTATGGAAAGATACATGATCGCCTAAGCGTGTATCACGCATGGCCCATAACTGTCTGAAAGTCACTTACGTGCTAATCCACTTGGGAATGGTATGAATCCTCTTTTTCTCCCCCCAGCTATGGGTAAATAGCAGGGCAATCCGAGTTCTATAACCTTGGATGGCAACTGGTCTACCACAGAAAGAAAAGGCAACCTACAGCGGGGAAAAAAATCTGCCTCATCAGTCATGTATCGAAAGATACATGATCGCTTAAGCGTGTATTACGCATGGCACATAACTGACTGACTGATATATATATATTTGCTTGACTGATATCTTTTGGATTTATTTATGAATAGATTCATGAAGTTTGGATAATTTAGCCTGACACCGCCAAAATCAATTATTATCAATATTTTTTTACAAAAATCGAGAAGATTCTAAAGATTTTACCAACATCGGTTGATTTGATACCCGGTTTTATTTAGAAAATTGAATAGTGTAGGCTGACCTTGTGTCGATGATCCTTGTTCTTTTTGAAAAGTTTCCTCACATTCACTATTCGTACTTACATTAATGCGAATCAAAAACACAACCCCTTAATGGTAAAATTACTAAACTGAATCAATCTCATCTACAAGAAAAAAAAAATCTGTTGGATACCTCCCTATATCGACATCTGCAGAAATTGAAACACTGAAATGGCAGAAGAGGAAACCTTAAAAATGAATATTTTAAATTTGAAAATCCGCTGTACAGACTTCAAACCAACTATCAACTCATATACAGTGTAACCCGGATATAAGAGACCCGGATATAAGAGAAACTCGGATATAAGAGAGATTTTCTCTGGTCCCAAATTAGAGCCTGTGTTAATGTATATCAAATAGACCAAACCCGGATATAAGAAAAACCCGGATATAAGAGACGTCTTCTCCGGTCCCGACAACTCTCTTATATCCGGGTTACACTGTATTCCAGACAAGTGGCTAGCAAAGGTTGGTGCTAGGATCTCGCCTCTACCTACACTTTATTACATGGCGATGTCAAATTTTTCCCAACCTGGGGGCCACAAACCCTGAAAGGAAAATAGTGGGGGGGGATTTTTTAAAATTACCACAAATCGGAATTATCCAATTTAAATTAAAATTTCAGTACATATTCATTAATTAGTTGTTTTTTTTTTAAATAGTTTTTTATTTGAAAAAAAAATCTGACAAAATATTATTCTTTTTGCAATAACCACCAACATTTTCGTGACTAAATTTTACTCGAAAAAAATGTTTAAGTCACAAATTTTTACATTTCCATAAAGATTAATCACCAACGCATCTCCTTTGAAAAACAAAAGTTTTACAAAGATTACAAACATAACACAGGAAAAAAACATCGAAAAAAAAAAAATTTCTTTAAAAAAATAACAAAAAATAAAATAAATAAACGGTGTTAAAATGCATGACAGGACTTGATGTATCTACTGTTTTGCCAATTGTTTCACTGAAAAACTGGGGTCAATTAGAGTTTTTTTTAGGGTTAGTGGTAGGCTAGGGTTAAAACGTTTCCGTAAACATTTGACAAATGAGATCATTCGCAATTTAAATTGATACATGGTTTTTTTTAGCGTCTCTTACTAGCGTCTCTTTCACCTGGTGCTGTTATGCATTTGTGCAAAAAACAACAACAAAAAGACAAAAAAAAAACCTCAACAAATATTTCCCCTATAATACAATTCATAGCTAGATAAATGCATTTGTACATTTTCAGTGAGATGCTTTAACAATTCAACTCGTTGTACTTACCTTTCACCACTATCCCCAAAAAAAGCAAGAGAGAAATAGGAAAGAGAAAGATAATATAAGGGATACACCGGGAGAGAGAGAGAGAGAGAGAGAGAGAGGTCGTGTCTCTAAGTGTAATACATCGGACTGACGAACCACCATAATCGAAAAAAGTAAATTCAGTTGAATAAAATCATTTTTTAAAAATAGCAACGAAAATTATCTCATAATTTTTAGCCATTTATAATAGGCGGAAAACTTAGCCTCTATTCCGAAATTTCTCAAACAATTTTCTATAAATAAATAATCCATGCCGTAAATAATGAAATAACAAAAATATTCTTTCATAAAATAATTCGTAAGATTTTGGAAATTGAAGTTTAATGAATGTTTTTAGTTTTTGGTTTGGTTTGGTTTGGTTTGGTTTGGTTTGGTTCGGTTTGGTTTGTTATGGTTAGGTTTGGTTTTGTTCGGTTCGGATCTTTTTGGTTTGTATTGCTTTGGTTCGGTTTGGTTTACTGCATATCAACCTCAATGTGTTATTTCATGCCGACAAGATTTTTATTACTGGTAATTTTTTTTCAAAAATGTATTGCTGGTAATATTTTTTCTTCAAACATTTATTGCTGGTAATAATTTTTTTACAAAGTATTTCTGGTATTAAAACCTATTTTTACACTTTCATAGTGTTTTGACTCTAGTTTGGGGGTTAACTGTTTGCCCATAGCTGGGACCCTAACAGTTGCTACCACCTTGGGTCAGAGTCGACCTGGGAACACTAGCAAATAAAAGGTAGTTCCACGCTTCTCAAAACCTCCTGATCAGAGGCCTTGCTGTTGGACGTAGTTTATCGTCTTATCTAGAACGCGGATGTAGTTTATCTTCTTACCCAGGAAGCGGATGTAGTTTATCGTGTTACTCAAGGCGCGGATGTAGTTTATCGTCTTACCCAGGACGGTCAAGAAGACAGCTTTTCAACAAGACAGCTTTCAAGTATTAACTTCAGATACCAGGACGCTTCTCGATCGTACAGTCTGTGGGTTAACTATTTGTCCATAACTGGGACCCGAACAGGTGCTGCCACAACGGGCCAGAGTCGACCTGGGAACACTAGTAATTAAAAAGTGGTTCCACGCTTCTCAAAACCTCCTAATCAGAAAAAAAATGTTCGACGTAGTTTATCGTCTTACCCAGGACGCGGATATAGTTTCTCGTCATATCCAGGACGGATTTTATTTACCCTATCGGAATGACCAGTGCCAACTTGTCAGGCGAAGATGCCAGAAGGAAGAACTACGCTCTGCTACGATATCCACTGCGAACCTGAACTACGCTTTCCTACTGTCGCCGAAATATTCACTGCCAACCTCTGGATTCTATACTCGAAGACGACCGTCATGAATTTGTAACAAGGGATGAACAGATTTCTCGTTTCCTTTTTTTATCACAAATCACAGGACATGTATATGGAATCTGAAGTGTGTATGAAATAGATGAGTACCACGGAATTGCTCTATTCGGAAAAAAATACTCCACTGGCATTAATCGACGCTTGTTGAACATTTATGGAGATCAACTAGTGGGTATGAGCACTGGCATCGTGTCTTGCAATCGTAAGGTGTCTGACAAAGCGAGTTTCAAGCGACTCTGAGTAGCTGTCAATCCACAAAATGAATACCTCGTCGATCAGTGCGTCATTTTCCTGACAACGACGCATTCTTCGTTGATGTGAAAAAGTTACTAAAAGATGTTTACCAGCGCGTGGTATTCAACCACGGGTATTTCCCTGGACGAAAATGAGATGAAACTGAAGCGGACAAACGGCTTTATTTTCTTCCCCATCGTATTTCGTCCATTTGAGGAAATTTATCAGAGGAAATTTTATGAAATAAAAATCCATTTCCACATTTACCTTGATAAATTCCCTTAAGGTTTATTTACATACACACGCGTATATATATATATATATATATATATATATATATATATATATAATTTTTATCACATTATATATTTTACTGTTATACGTTATTTATATAGAAACAAATAAGTAAATGCTTTGTTTATAATAAACAGTACTAACAGCATTTAGCAGCCCGAACGTCCCAGAAATTTTCATAGAAAATATGTGTCCTCCGACAGGAATCGAACCTTTATCCTACATGAAACCGTCATCTAGACTGACGTGCTATACCAGATTAGCTACAGAGAAGTGTCTGGTTAGCAAGGTCGATTTTACTGCTTTTAAACTACAATTTTCTATGATTTTCATCGAACGATCATATCTGCTCGAAGCGTATCTAAACGTAAACAATGTATATAAATAACGTATAACAATAAAATATATTAAAATAATTGTCGGACTTTGTTCATTTTCGTAGTGTGTGACGTCATTTCAATTACTAATTGTCAGATTTTAAGATGTTCAGGCCGATAAATTTTCAGGATTCCCTTGTAGTAATGGCTATGTAGATATATATATAGAAGACGTCACATAAAAATGAACGTGTTAGATTGAGGAATTCAGTGGCAAATCATGTTCTTACCTCATTTTTTATTGAGTGCCCCATATTTGTGTCCTTGTGCCAGACTAAGTAGTGTCTAGATAATCCCCTACATTTAGACATCCAATCAAAATGAGACACGTATACACAATCATACAGGAATATAAACAACGTTCTGTACTGAGTATGCGTCCAACTTTTAAACTGTACTCACTACCGGTCGCAAAAGCCTGCATAATTCTATTTTCTACCCGGTGGCTAACATCTGTTTAGTTGCTTCGTCTCAAAGTGACCCTTTTTTCTCCCCTAAACTTCTGCCTCACCCAACCAGAGAGCGGGTCAATCGGCACATGCGCAGTCGGGTCCAGCCTCCATGTTCATTGAGTGTAAAGACAATTTCACAGTCGACTAAACTTCGCGATGGAGTGTAGGAAAAGAAAGAAGGTAAACAGAGGAGAAGGTGTGGATGTGTGTAGGGAAGGGTGAGGCAAATGCGGACAATCGGTCGGTGTTCAGGTTTTCTTGTTCTTCTGAGAGAGGGGATGGTTGTTTCGCTTCTACACGTACGCCGCCCTTCACCCAAATATATTCACATTCATGTTATGTACCTATATAAATAATTTATAGCTATTCGGTACAATTTACAGATAGTAAATATATAAAAGTACACACACACACACACACACACACACACACACACACACACACATATATATATATATATTAATAGATATACATATTGTTCCTCACCGATAGCATGACTCGGATTTTTATGCACAACGCAATCTTCATGTGCTGAGACTCAGCACATGAAGACTACTTTAATCATGAAACTCTGTGTCGTGTTATATGTAAGATATATAATATATATATATATATATATATATATATATATATATATATATATATGAAATAAATCCTAAAGAGCCAGGGACAACCTACCTAGGTTCACCTAAACGGATTTTCAGGGTAACCAAGTATTACTTGTAGTATACATACATACACACACACACATATATATATATATATATATATATATATATATATATATATATATATATATATATATATATATGTGTGTGTGTATTATATATGTGTATGTATATATATGTTTATATATATATATATATAAGCAAATATATGGATATAGATCCGACAGTATGAAGAAAAATATACGGAAAAAACAAACAAAAATCCTAATATGCAATTATGCTGTATTAATGTTAATATCTGTTTGGATTAGTTGTGCTCTTATGTCCATCGTCTTTTTCATGTTGAATTTTATATGTTCTAATGTTAATTATGTTTTATGAATATGTCCTGATGATGGTCTAAAATAGACCGAAACGTCCGACGATGACTTTATATTAACATTAATACTTCATAATTGCATATTAAGATTTTTGTTTGTTCTTTTCTGTATATATTTTCATATATATATATATATATATATTCATATATATATATATATATATATATATATATATATATATATATATATATATATATATATATATACATATATATATATACATATATACACATATATATACATAAATAAATATAAACTATATATCTATATACATATATATATATATATATATAATATATATATACATATATACATATATATATATATATATATATATATATATATATATATATATATATATATATATATATATATATATATATAGTCATAAAAATGTTCAAATTATTGAGGTTCACCAAAGTTGGAAAAATAAGCGTATCACCTTCGATTATTAAATGACTAATTATGTAAGTATATGGTGCGCCAAGTAATTGAAATCAAATTATAATACCACTTGGTTCTGAAATGTTTTCGGCCTGACCAAGAAAATATTATTAATATCTGATGGTTGGAGATTTAGCAAGATTTTTTGAAGTAATCTAGGCCAAGAACGTTTTTGAAAAAAAAAAAAAAGAAGAGAAATAAAAAGCAAAAAAATAAATAAATAAAAAATAATAGAAAAAGATCAACTCAGAAAAATAGATAAACTTTATTAAATTAAACCATCTTTAGCCTTCCTCAGTTACTCGTCAGGTCACATTATGCACTCTCTGCTCGAAACTGTTATTAATTTCTGCTCAGAATAGTTGCAGTATAAACCGCAGGTTGGCTCGCCGGGTGTCTGCAACATGGATTATGCAGCATGCATCCAAGCAGACAGGCATACTCGGAAATTGAGCAGACCGCCATTAAATATATTGAAGTATATCAATTTTGCATTTTTGCATATACGTCTATGCGTTAATCTTGGTTTGTTCTGTTGGTAGACGTGCGCATGCGTGCGTCACACAAGAGGAAATGAATTTAAATTAGCGAAGAATGAATAGAAGAAAAAACGTAAAATAAATAAATGTTGATAAAAAAAGACGAAGGGAAAAAAAAACAAATGAAATGAAAAGCAATTCAAAAACATGTCAAGAGAAAATTGTCGAAATATTTCAAAACGCGATGGATGATAAGATGAAAGGAAATAATAGCTGAAAATTAAGAGTAGGAGGGGGCAGCGAAATGGCGGGTAAGATTGCTAGGTAAGGAAACGGTAAAGAAAATGGGAGAGAAAGAGACAGAGGAAGATAGGGAGACAGAAGAAAAAGAGAGGAAGCGGAAAGAAGAGAAAAGAAAAGGATAAAGATAGATAGATAGATAGATAGAGAGATAGAGAGAGAGAGAGAGAGAGAGAGAGAGAGAAGAGAGAGAGAGAAATGGATAACGAGGAAGTGTAGGGAAATAAGAGAGTGAGAGTGTGTGAGAAAGAAAAAATAAAGTGAAAGATCTATCTATCTATCTGTATATATATATATATATATATATATATATATATATACATATATGATGTCATCCACATACAGGCCTGTTTCGCTGTATCACAGCTCATCAGTGCAATTAGGCATCCAATTGCTTCAAGCCGGGATCGAAACCCGACCGATTTGGCATCAATCGAAGTTTCTACTCCTGAGCTTTCAGCGTACGGCAGAGGGAAAGAGAAATTCTAACGTATTATTTTTTTTTATCAATATAAACAAACGCCAAACAGCTATAGTGCTCAATTCATTTTCAATGAAGTGCGTATATATATATATATATATATATATATATATATATATATATATTGTTACGATAGATATTCGCACTTGCCCGATCCAACGCGCCCGAAGTGTCTGGCCTGCCGAACCGCCATTTACGAGAGGTGCAAGGCGCATGCGTGATGTTGAGCCTTTTTATAAACGTCGATCATTCGCATACGTGGAGGACCACCCGCTTTAAAATGCGGCATGCAACGATTTTGAAAGGCAGAGAAAAATTGGAAATAGAAGTGAGAAGACGTGGCAGTTTTTTTTTTTGTTGCAACGACTACTATTCATTAACAAGCTATGGACGGCCAGTTCGACCTGAAAATTATTCCTGAATTTGACGGGACTAGAGCTGTGATTGAATCGAGAAGCTGGAATTTGGGTGTGACCTATGTAGGGTGAAGTGTCTTGATCGTGTCAACCCTCCTCGTCCAACTGGGGGAGAGTACAATTGTTCAAGGATGAGAAATCAGACGCGGCCCGAATCGAGGAAGCACTAATCACCGCCTTTGCCGCTGATAGAGTCACGGCATACGAGAAGTTTGAGCCACGTGTTTTGTGTCCAGGTGAGACTGTAGATATGTATTTGGCGGTACTTTTCGGAGGAATCTCAGACCGTGCAATGGCATGCGTATTCGTGTTGGGGTTTCCGGGCCCCGTGAACAGGCACCTGCCGTCCTCCTCTAGAGTGGATGATATGTCTTTCGAGGATCTGTTAGCTCGGGCGCTTATCAAGGACGAAGCTGCAGTGGAGGAACCAGTCGTTGCTGCAGTGCAGCCTGCCCGAATTGTTCAACCGTCCCCGGGCGTGATCCCACCTTTTACATGCTATAAGTCCAATGGTTCCAATCATTTCGCGAGTGACTGCGTGCGGAGAGAGCAGACCAGTCGTGGGCATTGTTACCGGTGCAACAAGACCTGCCTCCTGGCCAGAGATTGTCCGGGAAATGAAATTGAGGACGAGACATCAGCGCCGGTCTTTCTCCAGGCAACAAGTGAACTCTGATCTACCTATTGTCACTGTCTACGTTGATGGCGTACCATGCTCGGCTCTCATCGACTCTGGATGCTCACGTTTCATTCTGAGCGTAAAGCGATGTCTGTCTTGGTTGAAGCAGGACATGGTGGTAGCCACATTAACCGGAACCACTCAGGCCTGCTGTGGAAGCGGCACTATTAGGATCCGCATAGCAAACGGTAACACTGTCACAATCAATGTGCTGGTTATGCGAGGGAAGCCTCTGGATTTCGATTTATTGCTTGGCATCGATTCCATTAAGGGGATCGGTGGCTTTCGCATCACGCAGTCTGAAAGCGTGAAGTTTAAGGAAACATGGCCCGTCTGTGCAGCGCTTCGCATCAACGAAACCGATTTTAGAGCGAAATTCAACGAGCGACAGGGACTGTGGTGGGCAGCCTAGTAGAGGTCAGCGTGTCGTGCACCAGAGAAATTTGGGAAGTGGATCTCTGAATATCCGGTGTCTAGTGAGTTAAGGGAGAAGTACGAGCGTGAGTTGCAGACCTGAATGGACAACGGTTGGCTGCTGCCGTATATTGATGAGGAGTTTGCCCCTCCCAAGGGACTGATATCGCCGATGGTCGTACAACAAACAATATACATTCTGTAATAGACTATCGCGAACTAATCACCTATATGACACATTCCCGGGTGCTGCGGACGTCTGCACGGAGAAACTGCGAGAAAAGAAACAACAGGGCGCAAACATATCCATTCTAGACCTTAGGAAAGCATACCTACAGGTTCACGTTGAGAGTTCCATGTGGCCGTACCAGAAAAGGAAAGAGATATTGTCTAACCAGGTTGAGGCTCGGCCTGAATATGGCGTCCCTGATAATGCGGTCTGTGCGGGAGGCCGTGTTAGTACAGGACGTGACGATAAACAGAGCGTTGTCGGCATATATTGATATATATATTTAAATGAGGATGTAGCGTCGGCGGAATCTGCGAAGAAGCCTCTTGAACTGTACGGACTGATTAACAAGTATCCAGAGAAGTTGCAGTACGGTACCAGAGTAGTGGAACTAGAAATCTAGGGGCAGCATGGTCGACTGCAATGTCGACGAAGAAGTAGTGTGGTGGACGGTCCTATGACCATGACGCGTAGTGGCATCTTTTCCATATGTGGGACACTTTCCCGTCTGTGGATGACTTCATCAAACGTCGAGTTAAAAAACGAAAAAAATCAGTGATGCTCCTTTGGGACACACTCGCCCGGGTACAACAACAATATCTTGCCCTGGGAGAGTGGTACATGGACTCGAGTGAGCTGAGCGGGAGGTGGTCGCGTGTTCACAGACTGTGGGAGTGCCGCTTTACGCCGATGGTGCCATCATTGAAGACGCATGTTGGTTGCGGCTGATAAAAGGACACCCAGCATATCAACGTGGGCGAAGATGGATGCCGTGCTAAGAGGAGTCAACCTCGCGCTCAAGTGGCGGACTACGGTATTACACGTGACAACAGACTTCCACTGCGTGTACCACTGGTTGACCAATGCCCTTACAGGCAAGTCTCGGCTGAACACCAAACACGCGAGCGAGATGCTCATAAGGCGGCGACTGGACACGCTGTTCTCACTTGTGAAGGAGTACAACCTTTCAGTCGATATAGTGCTAGTAAAATCCGACCAGAACCGGGCAGACTTACTGACTAGAGTTCTACAATGTTGGCTCAACGATGTGCAGAAGGAGATCGAACCTATACAGTCGGGGTGTTTTTGCTGCGGATAACCCCAGCCGTGCAAATCTGATGGAGGATGTGCGTGTTTAAAAGGATTCTAATGGAGCTGTGGTCGGATAGATGTAATGTAAGGCATGTGGGTAGGTATGTAGTTGTGTGACCAATGGAATTATTTATGAATTCGGTTTGAACAGGAACACGGATACTTAAGGGTCATATGAACACATAAATAATGTTCATTTGTTGTAATTTTGATTTTTGCTGGTGTGTTGATATTTTTGAGGATAAAGTTAGCTGTTTTAAATTTTTTGTAGTAGATAATTAATTTGATTTTTTTTGTTCGGGTCAATTGGGGTAATTTAATTCATTAAGATATTTCTAAGTGAAGATTCATCTTGTTTGTAGTTAACGTGTATTTGGCTTTTGTCGAAAATGTTATTTTTGACTGTATGTACACTATTATTATTATTATTATTTAATTTGGGAAGAACTAGTCTAATTTGGTGGTCTATGAGATGAAAATAACACAAAAGCAATCCTGAGTCGTGTGTTATCCAGAAATTGCTCGATTCCCCTATTGCCGCAGATACCAGGCTATACGGTTAGTTCAGCTTTTTCTTAGTGGAATGGATCCAGTCACCGGGCATCCCACCTCATCTAAACCCTATTTTATAAATGGTGCCAATTGAGGTTTACTGCAACACAGCGCTCACATTCCAAGAATTCAACTGACGGAGGAATTGGTAAGGACTAAATAATAATAATAATAATAATAAGAAGAATAGTTTGCTGATATGAGATGGAAAGACTACATTGAATCCATTGCTAGATCAGCTGATAAGAAAGTCGGTTCACTGTGTCAGGTGAGACAATTTTTCTCTCCTGAATCTATTTTGTATTTCAATAAGTCTACCATTCATCCATGCTTGGAATATTGCTGCCATATATGGTCTGGTGCCCCTATAATTTACCTAGATCTCCTTGATGAGACCCAAAAAAGAATCAGCAATATTATTGGTACTGATCTGGCGGTTCGGCATCAGTCACTTTTCCACCACCGTATGTTGGCCTGTCTGTGTCTTTTCTATAAATACTATCATGGTAATTGGTTGGATGCTCCCTTAGCTCTTTGACAAAATCCAAAGAAGAATCAGCAATATTTGTTATGGTCCGGTTCCTTGTACCACGGTGATAGTCCAAGGTAGAACCAATAAAGAAGAACTCGAACACGTATATGGAATAACACAGATATATTACAAACAGGAATATATACAGAGAAGTAGAAAGTGTTAGTACGAACAATCAGGTTTAGTAGTAATTGTCTGAACGCGACTGTGTTTCGGACTGCCACTGACTCGACTGACTGACTCGACTTCTGACGGACTTCACAGACTTCAGACTTCAGACTTCAACAGTATTTAGTCACTGCAGACCACCACCACCACGAGGGCATCATGTGGCACAAGGCCGGTTTAACGTGGGATCTCCATAGCCCATGGGATCGACCAAAATATATATCCATTGAACCCGTATAAACGGGTTCATTCGGTTTACCTCCCCGAAAGAGACTCCGCCCTTCGGCGTAGCCTCGATCGGGTTCCTCCCCAAAAAAGGCAGAGAGTTCAACCGATCAGCCGATCAGCCGGTCGCCCGACTTCAGACTGAACTCTCTGCTTCCTCTTTAGGCGCAGTATTTATTACGTATGGAATAGTCCATTATGTTATTATGGGTAAGGTCCCCTAACAATATTATTGGTACTGGCAGCCCGGCTTCAGTCATTTGCCCACCGCCGTAAGGTTGCTCCCGCCCCGCATTTTTTTTTTTATAAATACTTTCATGGTAACAATTTGGATGAACTCTTTACTAGGGTACTTAGACTCTGTGAATTTGAGCGCAGTACTAAACTGGCGGCGAGATCTCATCAATGTAAAATGGAGCCAGGCTAAATGTAACCGTAACTTCTATGTTAACAATTTTCTATCTCGCACTTCTACTATCCT